GCGCGAAGCGCGAAAGCTTTTACGATTCATTAAATCATTAGTGAAAAAAGACGATTCGTTATACCGTTCTCGACTCTTAATTCTTGTCTAAATGTAGTCCCAACCCCCAACCCCTCCTGCGCGAGGCGCGGAAGCTTTGACGTTTCATTAAATTATTAGAGAAAGAAGACGATTCGTTGTACCGTTCTCGACTCTTAATCCTCGTCTGAATTCAGTTACCCCCCCCCCCCTCCTGCGCGTAGCGCGGAAGCTTTTACGATTCATTAAATCATTAGAGAAAGAAGACAATTCGTTGTACCGTTCTCGACTCTTAATTCTTGTCTAAATTCAGTCCCACCCCCCCCCCCCCTCCTGCGCGAAGCGCGGAAGCTTTTACATTTCTTTAAATCATTAGAGAAAGAAGACAATTCGTTGTACCGTTCTCGACTCTTAATTCTTGTCTAAATTCAGTCCCACCCCCCCCCCCCTCCTGCGCGAAGCGCGGGGGCTTTTACGTTTCATTAAATTATTAGAGAAAGAAGACGATGCGTTGTACCGTTCTCTACACTAATCTTTGTCTGAATTTTAAAGATGTTCTTTGTCTGCTCCTTTTTCTTTCTACGTCCTCTTTCTTTTCTCTCCTCTTCTTTTATTAGGGGGGGGGGACGATGATTGTTTGGGTACCGCCCCCACCGCCCCCCTGGCTACGCGCCTGCGGTCAGATTAACACATTTTGATACCTTGTCCGACCCTGGAAGCTCAGACGTTTAAGGCAATAAATTACGGTCAGACAAGCATTCAGGGGCCCGCCTTAGGGCCCCTGGTGGGGTCGAGGCGGTGGAGCCCCCGGAAGCTCGGGGTTTTTAGGCGTTTAATTACGGTCAGATGAGCATTTTTTATAATCCTTATTATTTTGTCACACTGGCAGGACACTAATGCTATGGTCACATTACCCAAAAGTAGCCTGCTCGGCGGCCGAGCGGCGAGTTTTTAACCAATTCTGCCCGGCGGCTGCCCGGCCACCGAGCGGCGGCCGTCCAGGCATCGCTCGTTTTTAGGGGATCGCTCGGTCGCCGCCGAAGTTTTAGCGCGGAGTTAAAATTTGGGCGGCGCCTGCTCACTTTTCACTCGCCGCCCAAAATACGCTCGGTGCCTGGGCGGTCGCCGCCCGGGCACCGACCTAATTGCTGGGCGATGCCTAAATTCCAGCAGCGACCGAGCAGGCTACTGATCGGTCGGTCGCTGCTCAGATTTGTGACCATAGCTTTAGGCGTGGGGTCAAGGGGACAAAGCCCCCCAAAATCAGGGGTTTTAGGCAGTAAATTACCGTCAACTGAGCATCGAAGGGCCCGTCTTAGGGCCCAAGGTGGAATCCAGGGGGCAGAGCCCCGGAAGCTCAGGGGTTTTAGGCGTTTATTTACGGTCAGATGAGCATTTTGTTATAATCCTTATTATTTTGTGTCACTGGCAGGACACTATTTGGCGTGGGATCCAGGGGGCGGAGCCCCCCACAATCAGGGGTTTTAGGCATTAAATAACCGACAGATGAGCATCGAAGGGCCCACCTTAGGGCCCTAAGTGGAATCCAGGGGGTAGATCCCCCGGAAGCTTAGGGGTTTTAGGCATTTAATCACGGTCAGATGATCATATTTTGATGCCTCTTTATTTGTTAACACTGGCAGTTAACTATTCTTTCTTTCTTGCTCTCTTTCTTTTTTTTTTATTTCTCTTTAATATACTTTTTTTGTTAAAGTGTGGGGGGGGGGGGCTCGAGGCTCCCGATTCCCGCCGTTCCTCGGGCCCTGACATGTAGGAATCTCAAGAATCATATTTCTTGCCTGGCTGTAAATTTATCATTTCTCATTTTGTCATTTTCCAACAAACGCATGAAAAGTATAATTTACTAAAAAGTGAGGAAAAATCTCGGAAATTATGTCATTTCAGCATTATTTGTAATCCACAATAATGGAATTGAAAATAAAACACGTTTGAATTTGATTTCCCCCAAGCCCCCCCCCCCCCCCTCTATCAGTACGCCAGTATCTCCTATTTTCCTTTTTTCTTTCCCTTTCCTTCCTTCTCTATTATTTTTTTGATTGGGGGGGGGGGGCAACAGCCTGGGAGGCAAGGCCCTTTCGCCCCCCCCCCCCGATCTCCTTCTTCTCCCTTTTCTTTTCTTCTTCCTCTTCTTTCTTTCCCTTTCTCTCCTCTTTCCCTTTCCCTTCTTTTCCTTTCTTCTCTTTTTTTTTTTTTTTTTTGCCGGGGGGGGGGGGGGCAAGGCCCGCTCGGCCCCCCCCCCCTGGATCCGCGCCTGGTAGAAGTCATTGTTTACGACTAAGGACGATTGCTATTCAAAAGACAAAATAGAAGAACGTTGTAGAAGTTATTGTTTACGACTAAGGACGATTGCTATTCAAAAGACAAAATAGATGAACGTTGTAGAAGTGATTGTTTACGACTAAGGACGATTGCTATTCAAAAGACAAAATAGAAGAACGTTGTAGAAGTCATTGTTTACGACTAAGGACGATTGCTATTCAAAAGACAAAATAGAAGAACGTTGTAGAAGTCATTGTTTACGACTAAGAACGATTGCTATTAAAAAGACAAAATAGAAGAACGTTGTAGAAGTCATTGTTTACGACTAAGGACGATTGCTATTCAAAAGACAAAATAGAAGAACGTTGTAGAAGTCATTGTTTACGACTAAGGACGATTGCTATTCAAAAGACAAAATAGAAGAACGTTGTATAAGTCATTGTTTACGACTAAGGACGATTGCTATTCAAAAGACAAAATAGAAGAACGTTGTAGAAGTGATTGTTTACGACTAAGGACGATTGCTATTCAAAAGACAAAATAGGAGATTGAGGGAGACTATGAAGCGGAAATCCCACAGTTCAATACAAAAAAAGGATAGAGACTGAGCTAGAAAGAAACAAGAGATGCGCGTGAAGTGAAACTGACAAGTTAGACAGAGAGAGAGAGAGAAAAGAGAGAGAGAGAGAGAGAGAGAGAGAGAGAGTGAGAGAGAAAGTGTGTGAGAGAGAGAGAGAGAGATGATAATGGTGAAGTTAGAGAAAGTAGGCGGGTCGAAAGAGGAAAGAGAGAGCCTGAGATAGAAAGAGAAAGAGAGGGAGATGGTATAAAACGAAAGAGAGGGAGAGAGAGACCTAAGTGAAGAGAGGATTTACACAAACGCACAAATAGCGCACAGAAAGAGAGAGAATGAAATAATAATAAGAAGGATCTAATGGAGGCAAAGATCGAGGGTATGGCACGATATATATGTATATATATATTATACTGTTTTATTACGTAATAATAGACGCGCGTGTTCATGTGCGCGTGTACGAGAATAAATGGTCATTGTCATCGTCTGTATCTTGACCACAACACCAACTGCTACATACATAGTAAGATAGGCGAATCACTTCAACAAAAACCTACAATAAATGTAAAACTCATTTGAAATCAACGGCACATGTTTTCCTCAGATCAAAATGATCTAGCAGAAACTGACACCCCTTGAATCTTTCAATCATTTATGTAGAGAAGTGAAATGCCGACAAGGCACTGGTAATCTATTTGAAATGTTTGAAATTTATCGGGAACACCGGTAAATTTTTGATTATTCCATTTCTCGAAAGCAGAATTGTCTTAGGGGCTAATATTTGTATTGCTTATAATACATCCACAGGGGCATCCAAATATATCAACATTTTAAAGAATCGCTATCTATTCAATTTTCAAAATTTCCCAAAACTTTGCATTACCTTTAAGGCCGGGATGTGGACAAATGTCGATCTTTTCGACTGTCGGCTAGTGTGGCTAAAGGCCTTTGAGACCGGCAATATTGGTCTGGTGGATTGTCGGTTGCCCGAGGCCGTCAGTCTCACAAAAGAATGCTTTTTACAAGTTTTTGTTTAACAACTTTATTTTGAAATTAGTCATCCTAAGAAACAGCTACGGACTGGCCACATTAGCGTGTGAAGACAGATCCCCGACCCCCCCCCCCCACCCACCTTACCATAATTATTAAGAACCTTTTTTTTTAAATCAGAAAATCGTTCGTGGAGCAACTTTAAAATACCCCACCCAAACAATTGACCGCACGTTTGTAGGCTAACCAACGCTTCCCCAATGAAGCTAACTCTAAAGACTCAAGTTTCCTAGGTAACCCTAACCCTAACTCTATTACCGACTCTAACCCTATGTGTTGGACGTTCATGTAGATTAACCTTATTAGTGGGGTAATGTAGCCCCTCTAAAGTATTGGGTGCCCCAAATTCGCCAAACATTTGATGGCAAAATTTCACTTAAATTGTATCATCATGTGAAAGAGGATGTCATTGAAGACACAAATCTGCACAGATCCCCCAATAAATTTGAAGACAAATTTGATATATTGATTAAAAGAATACATAATGTGGGTTTTCTGTTGTGCGCAGAAAACCTAAAGTTTGTGTTCTTTCATTTAATATTCGACTTCAAACACGTTTGTTTTGAAAATCCTTGCAGAAATGTGTCTTAAAGTCACACTGTCCTACTTGTGGCTACTTGCTCCCTCTATGTAGAAAACAATGTTTAATCGGTGACCATTGGTCCCCCATGATCCTCTATTTCTTATGTTAATTGAGTGCTGAGTTGATGAGATAACCAGCTGTCCAGTGACCTTGCAGGGTAGTCTAAATCCTCCTATAAACTAATGCAGATAAGCTTTAAATGACATCCTCTTTCACGTTATGATACAAATTAAGTGAAATGTTGCCATCAAATTGTTGGGGCTCCGAACACATTAAGAGGGCTTTAATCGTAGGTGACCTACATATGACTGGGGAAATGTGCTAATCGTCTTCTTTTGTTTGTTGTTGTTAATTGTTCTCTTGGGGATGTTCAAACTTTTGCCGGAAATCCTGGCTCCCTCCAGCAGAGGGGTTTGTGGTGTGATGACGCGCGCTGGACAGCAATGCGTAACGGAATCATTGCCATACAATAGACCCTATACCCGGACCTGCATAATACCAGGAAATGTGCATGCATGTGTTCGAAAAACAAAGTCAAGGATATGTGTGCTGGGGCACCATCTACAGTAAAGATTAAAATGCAGTATATAATAATATAGTATCAGTACAATATCAGATATCAATGTGTCACTGGTGAAAGGGGTTATATTGAACTGATAGCTTGCCTGTATCATGGATTAGGTAACGTGTTATCAGATTACCTAGATCAGTAGCTGTATTTGGAACATATAGTATGTAAGTCCGTATATCGAGTTGTTACTATTCAAGTGTCGCTGTATATTATACAAATAATACACAGCAGTGAGGGTATTAGTAAAATTATCCACACTCGGCGGTACCTTCAAAACAGTCCAAACACCCTCGGCTGTCGCCTCGGGCGTGTTAGACGGTTCCAAAGGTACCTTGTGTGGGCAATTCTTCCTAATGCCCTCACTGCTGTGTATTATTTGTGATGTTTTATAACATTATTTTACTAATGACCGGTCATTATTAAAATTACGTGTGAGCTTAAATAAATGCCTGGTCACGTGTGCGCTACCATCCAATCATTTGATCAGGATTCACGTCATCATCTTATAAGCATGTATAGTATAATATACATGTACACGCATTGGTATTTTGCACTGACGAGTTGATTACGTACATGACTCCTGGGGTGTTTCACAAAGATCCTAAGTTGACCTTATCTCTAATTTGGACTATGGGAAGCCATTAACATCCTTGAAAATACTTTGTAAAACTTATATTTAACAGTCATAAATTGTTGATTCAAATTATTCATATCTTCTATTATCAAGGTGATTTCATGTTCTTGATGTGGAATTTATAAAAAGTCTGAAATACAGATAGGACTGTCTGCTTTCAGACATCCTGAAGACATTGCTCAAAAGTCTCTTGTACATGTTTTATGATAACTTTATTTATACACGCATATCACTTACAACACAATGACTTTTATATTTATGTAATACAACAACATCGTAGCTGTTTGCTATAATATTAGTTTTCGAGAATCATATCGTGAGAAAATTAAACAATAATTATGTGCAAGGTTATATCAGGTTAACAATTGCAAAGCTATATAATCTAATCTGTTCTCGAATCAAGTCCCACACGTATACCGTGGCAAGCTTTAAGATAAACTTGAGTTTGGGTTAAAAAAATAGGAAAATGAATTTTCACAAAATCAAACGAAACGTACACTGAATGTTAAAGATTACAAATAAATGTCATTTGCCAAACAATTTTGGTAGAAAATGTATACTGGCTGAGTAATGAGCATAGAAAGATGAGGAAATCAAGGTAAGTATAGGCTCGACACCATTTGTGTAGTCCCGTATACATCTTTCTGTGTACACTGCTTGTTACTTTACCAAGACTGGGACAAATTTATTATGATTTTGATGAATCCAGAACATTAAAGTACACACCAATACTTACATGCTACACGATCAACTTTTTTTCTGATCCATTCCACACCTTTGCTTTTACAATGCAATCGCATGACCAGAACTCAACTTTATCTTTAATTATCATGAGAAAAGTGTTCCTCCCTTGTAGACCGTGGGCCGAGCGCGATTTTAGGGCTTAGTTTTCTTTTTTTGGACTGACTTTGTGGTACATAGTTTTTGGTAACCAGAAATTAGGATAAAAATACACAAGTCCCAAATCAGCTTATTCCTGCGAATGAATCTTTGTCGTTCGTATAAAACATAAGTTTCATTGACAAGCTATTTAAGAGAAATGTGCGTGAACGAGACCGCCAACTCTCCGTTCGTACACGTGTATAAACTCACCGTGCGACGAGAGTGAAACAGCACATTCTCCGTCTCCGTCGTACGAAGAAATTATGTAATCCATTCGAATATTTCACAAAGCCAATCACATTTGCTGATGTGAATAATATGATTTTGCAAATATGAACTGCCAAAACTAATGAAAACCTCGTCAGGGTGAAAATATTTCGAAAATGAGGGGTCATAGCTACCATGAAACAAACGAGAAATAGCGCGTTGCCAATTTGATATTATTGTAAGGATCGTATGCAATTCTCTTGAATGTACACTGATCTGTGTAGAGATCAGTGGCTCCGTACTGACAAGACTCGAGTAAGTTTTGTGTAATTAAAACTTTTGATGAAAACATTTCTTGTATTAGCAATGCAATGGTAGTTTGAGAATAGGCCTACAGAATTAGAGTCCCTAAATATTCATTGTAATTATAAAAAAAGATATATGTCTTTTTGTATTTCCAGTCTTGTAGTAGTTTTTACACGTTTTCAAATTATCTTCCATTTCACATTCTCATCCAGTAAATGGTTCTTCGCACATACATGTAGATGGGCATTCAGTTCATCAAAACATAACAAAACTAACAGAAAATATGCTCTTAAATCTGTGTATTTTACTTATTAAACAATATTATTTAGTGTTTCTTGTAAGTATCGGCTTCTGGTATACAGATCTGACAGGAAGAGGGGAAAACATGGAAAAGGATATAAAACCTTGTTACCATTTGTTTAGTCAAAAATGTATAAGTCCTGACAAATAAAATTTCTGTAAAACAAACATGTATGAAAACATTCTGTATAACTATAATAACATCACATGATTTCAAAATCCAGACGACACAAAATTATACATTATCATTCTGTACACTTCACATATATACCTCAGCATGTATCTGTTATCAATTTTTAAGCCAGTGAATGCAGTGTAATTTTGAATAAACATTGTCATATTTCTTCCTCCAGGAAAGAAAAGTCACCCACATCCCGTATACCTTATTAAGCGTGTCCCCCCCCCCCCCCCAAAAAAAAAAAATAATAATAATAATAATCTAAAACTTCTAAAAAATTCAAACATTTGAAAACATGTAAAAACTACTACAGGACTGGAAATAAAAAAGACATATATCTTTTTTTATAATAACAATGAATATTTAGGAACTCTAATTCTGTAGGCCTATTCTTAAACTACCATTGCATCGCTAATACAAGAAAAAATGTCATCAAAAGTTTTAATTACACAAAACTTACTCGAGTCTTGTCAGTACGGAGCCACTGATCTCTACACAGATCAGTGTACATTCAAGAGAATTGCATACGATCCTTACAATAATATCAAATTGGCAACGCGCTATTTCTCGTCTGTTTCATGGTAGCTATGACCCCTCATTTTCGAAATATTTTCACCCTGACGAGGTTTTCATAAGTTTTCGCAGTTAATATTTGCAAAAACATATTATTTACATAAGCAAATGTGATTGGCTTTGGGAAATATTCGAATGGATTACATAATTTCTTCGTACGACGGAGACGGAGAATGTGCTGTTTCACTCTCGTCGCACGGTGAGTTAATACACGTGTACGAACGGGGAGTTGGCGGTCTCGTTCACGCGCATTTCTCTTAAATAACTTGTCAATTAAACTTATGTTTTATACGAACGACAAGGACTCATTCGCAGGAATAAGCTGATTTGGGATTTGTGTATTTTTATCTTTTTATTAACATTATCTAAATCTTGTACCGGAATCTATGCAACGAACTGGAAGGAAAATCACGCTCGGCCCACGGTCTATTGTACATAAAGCAGCTTTAGACTGTTAAAGGCAGGCTGCTGTTTCGGAACCCCAATTTCTCCTCACTTCAAGACAAATTTAAAGAGGAAGCTCAGAGGGATATCAAGTTGGTTTGAAGATAATAGGAAGTGGTAGAATAAGGCAAAAAGTTAAGTTGTAAGCGTAACTGATGTGATAGAGCTATAATTGCAATGACGACCTTCGTCATTGCCTTGTTTTCGTTCACATTCTGCCCCATTAAAGTTCTGGGAATTGGCTTTCTTTCTGTGGCCGTATCTCCATCATGGCTTGGCAGACCCGTACCCTTTTTTGGATTTAGATACTTGAACATATGCCCTTTCCAGCCATACACAAAATTATATACCCTAACACTGACCGACTTTGCGAAAAATGCCCTCCAAATTTGCCATTTTCAAGAAAATTGAGAAATAACTTCAACTTGCTCTAAATTGGCGATCTTTATACCTACATCAATGAAACTTATTAAGTATCCATATACGTGACAACTGTCTGCCAAGTTTGGTAAAATTCAAACGTGTCAGCGCAAAGTTATCGCCAAAATGATGAATTTACTATGCATTACGTAATAGCGCGTTTAATGCGTGCAATACATTGCGCGAACATAACAATGGTGTCAAACTGACCGCAATGAAGTGCCCTCGAATGATACCAAGTTTAGTATATGTTCACACAGAAAATTGTGAATAAATCGCATTTGAACAAAGGTCACTACACGAATTCCGCCGATTTTCCGCCCGAATCTAACACGTATCGGCTATGACGTCATTTTTTCAGACTGCTTTTTGCCCCTTAAACGTCCTATTTTTTCCTTGAAAAATTGCAGTGACATGCCGAGTTCCAATACGCAGGGCACCTCATGGCCGGATTTTTAAAATTGGTCAATGGGGCCATTTAAGACGCCATTTTGTCCTGTATACATCACGTGTTTCGATAGGATTATCATAGAAAAAAGAGTGTGGTTTACAATAACAATCATGAAATTCTCTTTCTAATGATACCAAATAGAGAGAGAAAAAACAATTTAACTCCGGTCATAATACAGATCCTGTACGTTTTCCGCTCATGCATTACACGCATTGTCTATGGGGGCATATCGGGTTCACGCTTTTGACCCCCAGAACGACCTGTATTGCAATGACGAACATGCACCAAATCCCATTGGTTTTTGCACGCAGTGCTTGCGAGCCCTTTCTACGTCCTTTCCCCTATCCCAATTTCTTTCAAACTTCGTAGGCATAGTCACTACCATCCCATCAAGGTCACTGCTGAGGCCTTTCTTTCGCCCTACCTATCTCCAATATCACAGAAGCTACAGACTTCGTACAAATTGCTCTGGATAGGGCGAGAGAAGCTCTTTCGTTTGACACGTAGAAACATGGCGTCATTGCACGCACATCGTTGTGACACGATTGCATTTCTAGTTTAAATAATAACTATTAAGTTGTAGGCGTAATTGATCAAAAGCCCTTTGGCTCGTTAAGAGAAAATCATTTCTTCGTCAACGGCACTCCACTAATTTGATTTATTTATTTTTATTGTTATTTTATTTTATTTCATAATGAGATTTAACGACATTAATCCTCTTGATATTACGGTGAAAGAATAGAATACATGTCTCCACTATAAAGTAATCTATACAAATATGAAAAATGTGAGTGCATAATCAGTGGTAACCTATCCAGGTAAATTTTCTGATTTGCAGATTTCCGAATTTCTTTTTGCTCAATCACATCTCTGATAATCACCATTGTACTCTTTTGTATTCTTCATTTGATTCTCCCCTAAACTGTCATTGATCCACTCCCGATTTTTTTTTCTTTTAGGGCGGAGCACTGTAGACTCACATGTTTCTTAATTCTACTCTTTGTCGGTTTTCCGTTGGGGATAATGGTGGCCGTCATCGGAATGGGGTCAGCTAGTGCCCTTGGTATTGCGGGCATTGTTTTTCTCATCATCATTTTCATCGTCGTCATCGTCGTCATCATCGCCGTCATCCGCTGGAGTCACAAGCAGCCGGAATTACCTTCGGTGCCGGAGGGATGGGTAGAGGCAGAGAACATGAACCTAAATTTACCAGCATCCACTGTGACTTTAGAAGGAAGAAGCATAACATCTTCACAACCTTATGAGATGACACCCGGCAATTGGATACGTGCGATGCAGTCTGGAGTAGTTGCCATAGGAACACAGCCAGGGTATCCCGAAGACCCCACCCAGCTTTATTCTATAGCTGCACGGAAGTAAGTCTGCTCTTTCTGAGTCCTCATAATTACCAATGTCTTTTGAAGTAAAAACATACTAATTGATAGGAACTTTAAATAAATGATAAACAAAAAAAATGGGCACGATTTGTGACGAACTTTGGAAAGAAGGGAGGGGATGGGGGGGGGGGTGACATTGGATTATAGTCGTTTACCGGGGCACGGTAATATTTTATCATTTTGAAATGTATATAATAGACGTACGTTTTATCTTTAAGCGTGCTCTTTTAACACTTTGTGATGAAAAAAAATAGGTAAGCTACATATATTCATGGAAATTGACACATGTTGATAGTGGAGGGGAAGGCTTTTGAGTTGCTTTGACAGAACCGTACCCTTAGCTACCTCTGATTTTATTACTGAAACACAAAGTGTCTAGTAATTCTATTATAAACCCAATGACTCGATCAAAATTACATTGTTATGAATATAATTTTGAACATGTTTTTTATAATTCCTTTTAAGAACTAATTATGTGTGAACAAAAAAGTGTATTTTACTTTCTTTCTTTGTTATTTAAAAGCTTACTAAGCGCACCGTGGTGTCCTCCCTCTATGCTATCCGCTAACAACCCACCAGCCGCGTCATCAATTCCCTACTCCAAACCGGGAGCCACGTTTCCGGTAAACTACACGGCCCCTTACCCTGCACAACCATCGACTGACAGTGATATGGGCGTGGTCAATCCAACCTCCCAAGAGAACGACATCGTCCCGCCCCCATCATATAATGACGTCGTAACGGGTAATGGAAAATACGACGAGGTCCCGGAAATGAACCCGGAAATGAACCCGGAAATGAACCCGGAAATGAACCCAGAAATGAACCCGGAACTGGACCAACTTAGCTGAACATCCAAATGCTTTGCAATCAGGCGATCCAATGTTTGCAATTTTGCCTTGTGTAGGGGTAGATGAAAACTTATTTTTATACTGGTGCTATATCGTAATTTAATATTTATTTTTTGAATGTGGCTAATGTCGAACGTTTCATACTCTTAATCTGATTTTTTTTTCTCACAGAAACCTAAACCAGAAACTATTTTTTGCATCTATTTTTTTTCAATAATTTGTACCTTTATAAATGTATATTGGTATGTCTTGCCCAGCCCCTATTTATTGTACCCTTTTAACATTATTTTGCATACCTTTTGGATCTCCTTTTATAGAGAATAAATGAAAAGTAGCTGTAAATTAAAAATATATATATATATATCAAGTCAAGTAAACTTCCAGTAACTCATCTTATTGGTTATCATGCCTATTTTAAATCGCCTTAGCATTAACGTAATTTTTTTCCTGAAAGATATAAATCACGAAGTGTAGAGCAAGTATACTGTAACGTGTATCAGGATCGTTGGTATAGTATGTCATTCTATCTATACACACATTAGATTAATTGGAACATTTTCCCGTAATATTTGTTCCCAGTTTTTGTTTTGAAATGCTCAAGCTGCCATAAAATATCGCAGAACACTTTTGATCCTGCGCAAGTTCTTTCTTCTTAGAAACTGCAATGTTTCTATTAACTGATACTTAATTTTACTTTTTGATATTACTCACATATCATTCGAATTATGTACAAATCTATATAAGAATCATAGACCTATTAAAGGGAAAGTCCGTCCTGATA